AAATTTCGCGGCTTTCCATCGCCACGCAATCAGCGGACGCTCGCCGGCGTGGTCGTAGGGAACGCCCCACCGTCCGGTGAGCACTCCACTGTAATGCAGCAGTTCTGACGCCTCCCTAGTTGTCTCACCCATCAAACTAGAACGCACCTTCCTTCCATAGTTCACGTTTTACAGCGTGCTTATTTTAATTGTCAGTTGGTATTAGCCTTGAATTACGCGAAGAAACGAGTAGTGAGCCAGGCGGCAGGATATCGCTTCGCTGACATAAGATGAGCTGGTCCGGTGAAACTGTATATTGAAGCTGCTAGAGGGTCCTTTGGGTGTTCACCGCAATTTTTTTTTCTTCCCTGGAAAGTCACTTGGCGACTATTGGTTCGTAATTGAACGCCACTGCCCACGGGTTTGCTTCAGACATCTAAGAGAACCATTTCCAAAAAAAAAAACGTATGAACAAAAACTCACGTCCCCTTTTCTTCGCCATGGATGGTCTCTACCATAACGTCAGGTGTCGTCCTAAAAAATTTCGGTAGAAAAAATAAGATCGATAGAAAACCAGAGAGTAGCAGAGATACTCACTTGAACACCTGCATGTACATTTCCAAGAAAAGTGATATCGGACTCTTGCGGGTACGAGCGAACATCTCCCGCAAATCGTCAGTCATCTCTTCAGTGACCATCGGTGACACAGTCATGATGCTTGCTTCTAATTATAAAAAAAATGTGACAAAGTAAATATGAAAAGTTGGTAATAAACACAACTCAAGTAAAAGCTGATGCGAACAACACAGAGCCATGAAGTAATCAAATAATATAAAATCTTTATCCCAGCTGTATTGCCTAGAACGATAGACTATGTTCATTATAAGTGGAATCCAATCTATTCACGGCACGACTTCTACCGATACAACTCTCTAACTACTAGCTTTATCGATACAAGAATTCTGCTTGGATATTTGCGGCTAATTCCGGTTCCCATCGATCACCATTCGTCAGTAATTTTTCCTAAAAAAGGATTAATTAACGACTTTCAAATTTGTTTCGGCACGATAACTGCTGTTTAACGATGTAATTGGCGCTTGGAAGGTTTCACAAGAATGCTGAGTGTGGTCAAAAGTCAGACTCCGGGAGAGACTCGAACCTCGGATAGCGCGCTCGCACGGCCAGCGAGAAATGTGGGTTCAAGACTTCTGGGGTCCCACTTTTGCTCATAACGCAGCTTTCTTGAGATAGTAACAACTCTTTTGCACTTCTGAAAGAGTAAAAGAACAGAAGGCTTCAGAAGCAGACCTTGTTGTAAAGCAGCTCCATATGTGTTTCGGTCGAAAATTCGAAATTTGGCCCCTCAACAATGGCGTCGACAGGGCAAGCTTCTTGGCAGAGCCCACAGTAGATACACCTTCAAATATTCATCAGAATAGTATTTTCGGAATGAAGCCCGCGCCCACGAAGGGTCGCCGAAAATGTGAAAGGGGCACAAACACACTTGGTCATATCTATATCGTATCGAGTGGTACGCCGACTGCCATCTGGACGAGTTTCTGCTTCGATCGTAATTGCCTGGAAATGAAACGCATCAGAAAACACTCGATATGAAGTTACGGTGTAGCGAAATTTCACAAAAATAACTACCAACCTGAGCAGGACAAATAGCCTCGCAGAGTTTGCAAGCGATACAACGCTCTTCACCTGATGGATAGCGGCGTAGAGCATGTTCTCCTCTGGAACAACATGATCAGACAGTTTTTAAATACAGCCTTTCTTTGCAGTTCCGCTCGATTTCAACTTTCCTGTCATTTCAGGGGCAGTTTCAAAAAAAAAGGATGACCGGCGCCTCTGGTCATGTTAAGACACCGCTGGACGCGAAGGAAGCCACATAACGGGAATTCTAGCGCACGCTGGTTAGAAATGAGGGGAGTTCAAAGGAATCAAGGGGAAAATGGGAATACTGAAACGTAGATGAGGACTTTTGCTTGAACCTAAGCAAGAAGGAGTTAGGGGTGGGGTAATTCCTATTTATTTGTGTAAAAAGGTTTGGGATCAATTACTTCGCAGTAG